TTTCGCAATAATATTTGAAGAACAGCTAAATTTTAACACATTTTAATGCAATAAAAATTTTTGGTCGGAGTCCCCCTTTAATAAGTTTTTTCAAAGAAAAGTACAAAAACGCATGGTTAGTTTCGGAGAAAATGATACATGACGAACGAAAAAGAGTGAGTAGCTCGATTTTTTTCAGAAATAACTTTAAAATTTCTGAAAATTATATTTTCAAAACCATTCATTTCTTCTCAACAGTTTCAAAGTTTCAGAAAACTCCCGGAAGTCTTAGGTTGATAAGCTTTCTGCTTCTGAAAGTGACTTAACGGTCCATTTTTTTGTTGAAGAGATGTATTCAGTGTCTATTTGATCGTAATTTTTTTTTAATTTTTATCTCACTTCCTGTTGGAGGACATTCTCCATTCTTTTTACGGAATATCAAATAGCATCCCCATTTTCACGGGAAATTGAGGTTTCGGGACATCCAGAGTAAGCTCTTCTTTGACAATCAACTGACCCTTCCCCAAGTCGATGTAATTCACACACTTCTCGTTTCCGCTTTTGGAGTCTTTTTGAGAATACGGTAATTAGTCGACGGATGTCCTCAAATTGTATTTCAAATCCAGAAATTTCGAGAAGCTTCCAGAAGAGTTTTGGCACAAAATTGGGTAAACATTCTTGAAATATTCGGTTAGTTTTTGAGACATTTTGAAATTTTCGGTGGTTTTCCGAATAGTTTTTCTGGAACTCTCAAATTCCGAATTTTCAAGTTTCGAAGATTCAAAAATTCAAAATTTTTCAGGTTATTGTTTTCTTTTAAATTTTTTACTGTGAAATATAGGCAGTTTTATCTGAAATTCTACTGAATCCGATGATTCTGACATTCAGAAATTCCAAAAAATTAAAATTCACAAAATACTATTCACCAGAAGAGGTTCCATTGCTTGTGGAGAGAAGAGAGCAACCATACGTCCCGACGATGTAGAAGGTTGTGACTGTAGAAGATGTGGCATCGGGTTTCGGCTTCGATCCTTTGACATCAGAAGTCGGCATCATTGAGTACAGTGTTGGAGATCCTTTGGTAGAAGACTCAGAAGTCTCAGATGTCTCCTCATACTGGCGATTCTTCTTCCTTTTATAGCATCTCCTCTGCAACCTCCTCATCGACCAAGGATGGTTCACCCCTCTGCTCCTATCAATAGAAACCCGGTCATCGTCTCCTGGCTAACTCCGAATGCTGATGCTACGAAGATCATAACTCAGAGTCCTAAATCTCGACCCGAAAACAGTATCAACAAAATTTTCTGTGCGAAAATTCTAATTTTCAAGTGATTTTTGCTGGCAAAAAAAAAGAAGTTTTATGGCCTTGTTTCTAGCTGAAAATGCTCTGAAATCGCTCAGAAAACTTTAAAAATGTATTTTTTTTATTTTTCAATGGCGTATTATGCAAACTTGTTATTGGCGTATCACCACGAAACTTAGAGGTACTGTAGATTTTTTGCGCGCGTAAAATTAAATTTCGAATTGTTTCGGTGGATTCCTCATCATTTTGGGTCATTTGAACATTTTTCGGCCGCTTTTCTCCGGTTTTTCTCGATTTTTAATGATTTTCTGTTGTTTGCACTGAATTTCTAAGCGAACAGCACGTATCCAATGCGTTTTCCTGTCGAAAATGGGGTATTTTTCAGCAAAATATCAGTGTTATTCGATTTGCGTCATTTTTTCACGATTTTTCGGATTTTCCAACGAATTTTGGCGATTTTTAATGCGCTTTTGTTTAAATAGGACATGTTCAGTGCGCTATCCGCGCGGAAAATCGCTAGAAATTCTTCGATTTTCGTCATTTTTTCCTCAATTTCTCTCAGTTTTTTTTCTCGATTTTCTTCGATTTTCCTCCTCAAATTCCTAAATTCTTCAGGTATGAATGGTCAAACAGAGCGTTGCGACCGTACTGCCTACGTATCGGGTCTGCAGTCGACGGTCTCCGACATTGAGCTCTTTGAAGTGTTCAATCGTGTCGCCCATGTCGAGAAGGTCATCGTGAGAAGTGGAACCATTAGACATGCACTTGTCGTCTTCAAGTACGTGGCCTTTTTTGACTTCTGGACCTAAAAATCACATTTTTCAGAACTGTAGAAGGCCTGTATGAAGTCCTCAACAACTTCCAAGGAACCAGCCTCCACGGTCGACAACTTCACATCCGTCCGCTCCGAGAAAGTTCTCACAGTGGGAACGGCGGCGGTGGCCGAGTCCAGAAGCCCTACCGCCCGTCCGCAGCCCAGAATTCCACGTGTACATATCGCCAGCACCCAGCGAGCTATCAGCCAAATCCCCGTGGCTTCAGGAATTCGTCGGGAAGCACGTCTTCATTCAACGGAGGAGGAGGAGCGAATGGAAGACGTCGGAATCAGGGATACGTCCAGAACGGGCGTGGAGGATTCCAGAACGAGACGTATTCTGGAGCGATGAGCACACTTTTCAACGCGTATCCACAGTATGGGGGATTTCATCAACCGGCGGCTCATCACCATCAGACGCAACATGATTTTCACTTTGAGAATCATGCCGAGGGGGCGAAAAGGTGCGATTTTGGCTTGGAATAGGTCGTAATTAGAGTTAGAAAGCCCAGAAATCGTCCTAATTGCATGAAAATTGACCAAAATTCATTAAAAATCAGCTATCAACATGAAAAATCGGCCAAAACCCATGAAAAATGAGCCAAGATTTAGCAAAAATGGGCTCAAAATTCAGAAAATCGTCCAATATTCAATATTTTCCAGATTCGACAACCTGGCCAACCTGATCCGCGCCACAACCCCAACCGATCCGTTTGGCGCTAAATTTTTAAAGTACTGCTTTGCCTAATAAATGATTGAATCTTGACCCGATTTCTTTAGGAGCACGGAAAAGAGCCAAGCCACGTCGCCAACCGGTTCAAGATCCCGCGCATCGTCGGCAAAGGAGCACAAGCAGGCACCGCCGGCATGGAAGATGGAGTTGCGTCTGGCGGATTCGCAGAATATCCCACCACCACCAACGACGACGCCGAAGGCTCTCTCCATGACACAGCACGAGTTTTTGGCTCAAATTGCGAGACAGGCGGCTCAGGAGCAACAGGAGGATGTGGTGCTTGTTGGAGGAGAGGAGGGAAAGAAGAAGCAACGTCCGATTCTCTCGGTGATCAATCCGTCGTTGTTCTATGAGCAATATCCACGTACATCGTCGCCAGTCGTGTTCGCGCCCAATTCGAGTAGGTTTTCATTATTTTAGTTTTTTAATATCCCATTTTCCAGTCCCCAATACGGACAAGAATCCATCACCACACGATCCAGCTGTGGTTGCCTACAGTCGTCTCCGCATCCCACCTCAATCTGCTTTCGATCATCTCTCTCCAATCGATACCAACAATTGCTCATTCATAACGAAGCATCTGGGTCCAAACGATCATCAAAAGCGAGATTTTACGAATGAGGAGCTCTCCGATATGATTGTTTCCACTGGAAATCTTCGTATGAACCCGATGATTCAGGACGCCGCCGCTTCCGAAGCTTCGCCCCCAATCCACGACGAGACTCCAGCTCCATGGTCTCCGTTGAAACGTGTTCGTGCTGAAAGTGGTTCTCTGTCGGCTGCTCCACTGGCGTCTCCGCAATTCTCGCCAATAAAACCGAAATGCGAAGAATTCGACACTGCTGACGATGACGTGTTCGGAGGATCCGGTATGGATCCACAAAAGTCGGAGAATGTTGAAAAGATGGATGTGAAGCAGCAGCAGAAGATGTCCGACTTTGAGGACATCAATAACAGCCGTCTGCCGTCGAATTCGCATTCCGCAGCTCCGAGTTCAGATCAGAAGAGTTTTGTGTTTCCGCCGGTAAGAGTTGATTGGGTCTAAAACGAAGGAAATTCTTTAGCTTTCCAGGAATACCCAATGTGCCGTCACTCGTCAGTCCCATCGATTGCTCATCTCGTCGGCGATCTCTCGGATTTCTGTCCACCGTCTCCGCACTTGACCGAAAAGCTGGCTATCGAAGAAGATGTTGAGAATCCAGAAGACGTCGACAAGACTTCAGATGACAAATCATCATCTTCTAAGGCTGACGACGTCGCTGTCGTTCCTGGAGCCACTGGGATTCAGAAGTCCGACGTCATTGTCTAATAATCTGTGTCATATATTTATATTCTCAATTTTTCAAATTTTTTGCCACGTTGAGCACTTTCTTCCCGCCCCCAACCCCCTCTACACAGCATCTCTCCTGTCAAATATGTTTTATTGAATTCTTGCATTGTGTAAGTGTCCGTTTTTTTATCCCACGTTATCCTCATCTGTTTTGTGTGTCCTTTCCTGTTTTATTCGACTCCGCCCACTTTTGTGGCTCCGCCCCAGCACCCCAAAATCATTGTTTTATTGGTTTCCCCTAGACGATTTTTTAATTGTTTTTTAAAATACACTGTGCGAGTGAGCAAGAAATCCGGTGTGTGTGTGAAATGAAAAGTTGATATTCTAGTATTGATTTTTTGCAAAATTTTCTGAAAAAATGTCTAGCGCCGGACTTCAACCCGAATCCACGCAGTCTGAGGAGAACTAGGAGCCGAGAACGGGTATTTTAGCGGTGGAGCGTGTTTGAAACCTATGCTCTCTTGGTGAATAGAAAGTGAATAGAAAAACGCGCTCCATTGTCGAATTTCAGAATTTCGATGAATTTGACAAAAATCAAAACTTCCAATTTTTTTTTGCATTTTTAGCAAATAAAGCCGAGGAAGAGCAAACGCGCTCTACTGAGAAGCGGCTCGAATCCGAAAAATTCAAATTTTGAATTGAAAAAAACGCAAAAGTCGCTAGAAAAATAGCCAAAAAACCATGTTTTGAACTGCCGTGTTGTGCATTTTCCATTAGAGCGAGCATTGAATTTTGCATTGAATTTCGAAAAACCGCGCTTTCCGTGCTCCACTGAACAAAAGCCTCAAATTCTCGATTTCGCAAAAAAATTTTCATGTTCTTCAATGTTAGCAGCCTCAAAACATTCAAATTCTTAGGATTCTTAGGAATTAGGGGAAAAAAGCATACAAAAGTTAGTCAAACGCACCGTGAATTTTTTAGGACGGTGAATTTTCTAAAGAAAATGCGCTCTAACGCGAATACTGTAGTTAAGCGCGCTGAGTATCGACGCGCATGCTGAAAAATGAATTAATGAGTCGCTACACAGCGAATTTTGCGACCTAAAGAAAAAAAGGCGCGAAAAAAAATTTTAAAATACGTTCCGGAAAAAAACCGTGCAAACGTTGTAAAAGGAAATGAAATTTTTTTGTAATTCCGAAATCACTCAAAATTCCAATGAAAAATCCAGCTCTATGAGGATGAAAAAAGTATGGTGTTGAAAAAAATGAATAATAAACTCCACAAAGCGTATACGAAAAATTCAAATTCAAAAGAGCCAATTTCACAGAATCCATTGCTTTTGGCGTTTTTTTGAGAATACAGTAGAATGTAAATAGCTGAAGAGGGAGGTTAATGAGGGTACTTAGTCGACAGGTGTAAATATAATTTTCTTTACGTTCTAGGAATTTCGAAAAGCTTTGAGAAGAATTTTGGCACAAAATTGGCTAAGCATTCTTGAAGTATTCGGTTAGTTGTTGAGACATTTGGAAATGTTCAGCGGTTTTCAGAATAGTTTTTCTGTGAGAATTTTTTAGAGAATTATTGTCTATTCAATAAAACGTGGGCGCGCCGCAGGTTGCAAAGTAACACGCCCCTTTTTGAAACGCGTGAGAAGAGGGAAAAGGGAACGCGTTCCAAAAAGGGGCGTGTGTGTTAATTTTGTTAAAAAATGCAACCTTTTTTCTTTTTTTAATTCAAAAAAAAGTTTCCAATTTTTCATTGGATATTTTTCAACAGTGGTAGGCGGGCCGGGCCGGGCCGGGCCGAGAAAAGGCCTTTTGCAACTATGGTTTTTTTGTATTGTTTCCGTTCATTTTCCATATCGAACATTTTCATTTTCTTTGATTTTTTGTGAAAAATAAAAAGAAAATAAGATTACAAATGAAATTTTTGTCTGAAATTTTTAATTTTCGATTTTCAATTTTATACATCAACATATTTTTAGCTCCCTATACTAATTAAATTTCTCTCCGTCACAACATATTTTTTCTATTTTCCCCTTTAAATAATTGAATCAACATCTCCATTTTTTTCTCCCCCACATTTTTCTCATTTATCAAATTTTCGACCTCTCCCTATGACTCAAAACTTCTCATTTTCGGAATACTATAAAAGTTCTTATCTTATCAATTGTGATAAAAAATCGAATGAAAATTGTTTTTCCTCAAAACATGGATTTCAATTTTCCGCCAGGCTTATTTCAACAATTTCGCTGCCTATCCAACTTTTTGCATTTTTTTGTATCCTCAAAAAAACGCCGAAAAATATGAACTCGGTGAAAATGAGTCTTTTGAATTTGAATTTTTGGTATTTATTGACTGGAATACTGTATGCATTTTTGTCGACACCATACTTTTTCTATCCGCATTTAGCTGGATTTTATATTGGATTTTTGAGTGATTTTGAAGTTTCAAATGCCGTTCAAAGCTTTATAGGATGTCCAGTTAGTTTTGGTGTGTTGAAAAAAAACCAAAAAAAAGTGACGTATCGTAAAACCTGTATTAGAAGGGCCCCTTTAATAGAAGGGCCCTCCGAGAGAGGCTTGGAAAAATAGAAGAGTTGGCCCTTGTAATACAGGTTTTACGGTATCCCAAAAATTCAATTTTTTAAATCAAAAAATCTAAATTTTCAGCAATGATCATCTCGATAATGTCGCTATTTGAAAACCGGAGCAGTTTGATTATCAACAATATTTTTAGTATCAAAAAAGCTAGAACCAGAATTTTATGGATTTCTGGCAATTTTCTGGCGTGTATGGGACTGGTTACACCGATTTATTTAAATTTACCGGATCAGGAAATAGGCAAAAAAGATTTGTTGAAGGTGAGTTTTTGGAAATTCTAAAAGTCTGAAATTCTGAAGTTTTGAAAACCAGAAATTCAAAATTTCGAAATCCTAATTTCCAGGAGCTCCCCTGCCCTCCAGTCTCCTTCTTCACCGAGTCCATCCTCATATTCGCCTTTTCTGGTTTCTGGGAAACTTATTCAACTACAGTAATTATTCTAGTCAATACCATTCTTCTTTTCCAAACCCTTTTCTTCTCCACCTGCTGTCTCTACTATCTTCTTTACGCCAAATCCAACCACGTGTCTTCTGAAACTCGACGTCTTCAGATTCGCTCATTTTTTGCTACCGTACTCCAAACTACAATTCCTATAATGTGTCTTTTGATTCCTACTATCATATTTATGTTGAAAAATGATAATGAGCAATTTAGTCAGACTAAGAATAATTTAACATTTTTACCGGCAATTTTACACAAGGGAATTGGAAGTTTATGTATTATTTTGGTCCATTATCCTTATCGAAAATTTTTATTTTCTCTGATTTATTGTGAGAGAAACAAGAAAACGATTGTCAAGGTTTCACATTGTTCTGCGCAACATTTTTGAATAAAACTTTCAAAGTTTTCTTTTGAAACATAAAAATGTCTATTCTCTTTCCTCTACGCTCCAAGAGAATATGTTTTTCTGTTTCATCACTTCGAAAGAGGGTTTTGTCATTACAAGTTCATTATACATAGGTTTTACGTTCAATTAATAAGGTCGTATGATGGTGATATTACATGACAGCGCTATGCTTTGAGTTCAACAAATGACCACCGAGTGTCGAAAACGGGAATATGGAACTCCGTTTTCACGCCCGGCGGTCGTGATCGTTGCGAGACCACAAGCCGCCGAAAGTCTATGCGCCTTTAACTCTCGCGCGCCTCTTTCTCCGTTCTTCAACGAAAAACATAATAATCATAAAATAGACACGATTTCCTACAATTCTGTCTAAAAATCACTTACCTAGCGTTTCTAGGAACCGAGATAGAGCCGCTTCAAGCTTAGGAGGCTAGAGACGCAGACGACGAGACACGCTGCGTCTCTAACCTCGGAAACTTCAAATGACCGTATCTCGAGTTCTAGATGAGCTAGAAAGTTGGTTTTTGGACAGAATCGTAGGGCTTAAAATAAATTATCAGAAATAAATTTTTTTCCAAACTTCTGAGACTTCAAAAAATTCAGAATTGCAGATAAAAGTTCAAATTGTCCGAAGAAAGTTAAACAATTTATTTCAAAATAACACCTAAAATTACAATCTCCTCTCCCCGGAAACAATGAAAACTCGAACCTCCTCAGACTTTCTCTTTGCCAAAAAAATTGATTTCAAAAAATTCCGATATGGTTTTTGAACCAATAAAATCGATAAACTAGTCATACCATTATGTAAAATGATAGATAAACCCATTAAATTATTATTCAACTGATCATAATCATTTTTTCTCTGTCGATCCAAGAATATCAATGTTGGGATGTAATCAAATAAAATTGGAATGAGACTTTGAAAGATAATTGCAACAAATGATTGAATTTGGAGTTTTCTAGTTTGAGCAGAGACTTGGGAACTTTTGAAAATGAATAAATAATAAATACAACAAATTGAGAAAAATAGAATTTGAGCCATTAAGTTAAAATAAATAAAGAGAAGAGCTACAGTAAGATAGGATTCCCAAAAATCTTGATAAGCCATAATCAGCATAGATTCGGTAAAAAATTCCTTTGCCGGGCAGGGAAGATTCTGGAAAAGTTTAGTTTTTCAGATTTTCATAAGTTCTCACCTTCAAAATCTCCAATTTCGTAGTCTCCTGGTCCGGTAAATGCAAAAATACCGGGCTCAAAAGTGCCATACTCCCGAAAAAATTGGTAAAAATCCACAAATTTCTTGTTGAAGTCTTAGAAACCGCCCATCGATTTTGAGTAATTAAACTGCTTCGATTCTCGAATAAAATGGTAATCGAAGTCAGGATTCCTAGAATTTTCTAGAATTACAGTACCCCTTACTTTTAAAAAATTTACCAAAAGTGACCGCTAATCCCAAATAGAATTGAAAAATAACGCTTGTTTTTTCAGCCAAGCCAATACAAAATCCAGAAAAATAGGGGAAAAAATTGAATGGGGTCACAAAGAATCCCAAAATAATTCCAGAAAAAATGGACCATAAATTCACTTTTAAAAGACTCGATTTCACATTTTTCATCGTTTCTGGAGTCTTTTTTAAAATACAAAAAGTGCATAAAATTTGAATTGGAAGAGATAAAAATTCGATAATTCTGGAATAAAGGACTAATCCTTCTTTAGAAGCCAAAAATCTGGAGTCTGGAATACAAACTTCTGGATAAATAGTTTCGTAGTAGATTTTCAGAGAATCGGAAGACATTTTTTTGAAATTTATGAAAAAATTCGAATGATCTCAAAAATAATGAATTTTGATAAGTTGGTCAAGTGAAACGAAGCATGTAACAGGCTGAAATTTTACGAATTTTTCAATTTTTTGAGCTTTTTTCAGGTTTTGGTTCTCACAGGGAAGTACATGGACACAAAAAATACACAATAGAGTACGTAGACAAGTTTTTATCCGGTTCAATAGGTTTCCAGTTCAAAACATTGAAGAGGAAAATCAAAAAGTCAAAGAATTAGAACATTTCGAGTATCTGTGATTTTTCAAAAAATCGGAGATTCTCAAAACTCAAAATTGACTCAAATTGAGAATTTTAAAATTTTGAGCGGGACCACAGAATGTTACTAGGTTACACAAAATGACTCATGGAAAGGGGACATTCTCTCTATCTATCATGGTCTGGTCCCCATTCTTCCTAGGGGCAGGTCTGTTCTCAAATACATCTGATGACATGACCGTAAGTCTTTAATTATACAATATACGAAATTTTTTACAATTCTGTCTGAAAATCTTGTTTCTAACGCTTCTAGGAGACGAGATAGAGCCGCTTCAAGTTTAGGAGGCTGAAGACGCAGACGACGAGACACGCTGCGTCTCTAACCTCGGAAACTTCAAACAGCCGTATCTCGCGTTCTAGATGAGCTAGAAAGTTGGTTTTTAAACAGAATCGCACGGTTTGAAATGGATTTTCTGATTATAAATTTTAAAAACGGAAGAAAGTACAATACCGATCAATAAGACTCTAGATTACTGTATTTCTATAATTTTTCAGTGACGGAGAAGAAATAATTCTTAATGGTGGCTACATTGTTCAACGAATGGACGGTGTGAAGGCAACGATTTAGTCGCCAACTGTCTTTTTTAAAAATAATTTCATTAAAATTATTGTTCTGAAATTTTTTTTAACTTTGAGTTTTAAAAAATTCCGATTCTCCATCACAGTTTTTCGAAATTCATCGAATTTCGGATTTTTGACCTTCAAAACTATCGAATCGGAAAAAAAGCCAACTTGTCTACGTACATTTTTTGTGTTTTGTAGTCTATTGTGCTTCCCTGTGAAAACCAAAATGTTGTCTGAAAAGTTCAAAATTCGTAATTTTTCAGTATGTTACATGCTTCGCTTCACTTGACCAGCTTATCAAAACATCATTTTTTCAGAGCACATTTTTCAAAAAATTTTGTCAAAATTTCCCAAAAAAAATGTCTTCCGATTCTCTGAAAATCTACTACGAAACTATTTATCCAGAAGTTTGTATTCCAGATTCTAGATTTTTAGCTTCTAAAGAAGGATTAGTCATTTATTCCAGAATTATCGTATTTTTATCTCTTCCAATTCAAATTTTATGCACTTTTTGTATTTTAAAAAAGACTCCAGAAACGATGAAAAATGTGAAATCGAGTCTTTTAAAAGTGAATTTATGGTCCATTTTTTCTGGAATTATTTTGGGATTTTTTGTGATCCCACTCAATTTTTTCCCACATTTATGTGGTGTTTTCATTGGATTGGCTGCAAATTCAAATCCTATTTTTCAATTTAATTTGTTCATGACGATCCTATTTGGTACGAATACTTCTGAAATTGGATTACTGTAGTTTTAACAAATTCCAGGAGTCCTAATCTCCATAAACATTTTATTCGAAAATCGAAGCAGCCTAATTGCTCAAAATCGGTTTGCAATTTCTAGGACTTCAACAAGAAATTTTTGGGTTTTTATCAATTTTTTTGGGAATTTGGCACTTTTGACTCCGGTATTTCTGAATTTACCGGACCAGGAGACTACGAAATTGGAGATTTTGAAGGTGAGAACTTATGAAAATCTGAAAAACTAAAATTTTCCAGAATCTTCCCTGCCCGGCAAAGGAATTTTTTACCGAATCTATGCTGATTATGGCTTATCAAGATTTTTGGGAATCCTATCTTACTGTAGCTCTTCTCTTTATTTATTTTAACTTAATGGCTCAAATTCTATTTTTCTCAATTTGTTGTATTTATTATTTATTCATTTTCAAAAGTTCCCAAGTCTCTGCTCAAACTAGAAAACTCCAAATTCAATCATTTGTTGCAATTATCTTTCAAAGTCTCATTCCAATTTTATTTGATTACATCCCAACATTGATATTCTTGGATCGACAGAGAAAAAATGATTATGATCAGTTGAATAATAATTTAATGGGTTTATCTATCATTTTACATAATGGTATGACTAGTTTATCGATTTTATTGGTTCAAAAACCATATCGGAATTTTTTGAAATCTATTTTTTTGTCAAAGAAAAAGTCGGAGGAAGTTCGAGTTTTTAATGTTTCCGGGGAGAGGAGATTGTAATTTTAGGTGTTATTTTGGAATAAATTGTTTAACTTTCTTCGGACAATTTGAACTTTTATCTGCAATTCTGAATTTTTTGAAGTCTCAGAAGTTTGGACAAAACTTATTTCTGATAATTTATTTTAAACCCTACGATTCTGTCCAAAAACCAACTTTCTAGCTCATCTAGAACTGGAGATGCGGTCATTTGAAGTTTCCGAGGTTAGAGACGCAGCGTGTCTCGTCGTCTGCGTCTCTAGCCTCCTAAACTTGAAGCGGCTCTATCTCGGTTCCTAGAAACGCTAGGTAAGTGATTTTTAGACCGAATTGTAGAAAATTTGGTCTATTTTATGATTAGAAATTATTATTTTTCAAAAGAAAACTTTGAAAGTTTTATTCAAAAATGTTGCGCAGAACACTGTGAAACCTTGACAATCGTTTTCTTGTTTCTCTCACAATAAATCAGAGAAAATAAAAATTTTCGATAAGGATAATGGACCAAAATAATACATAAACTTCCAATTCCCTTGTGTAAAATTGCCGGTAAAAATGTTAAATTATTCTTAGTCTGACTATACTGCTCATTCTAATTTTTAACATAAATATGATAGTTGGAATTAAAAGACATAGAATAGGAATTAGGTTTTGGAGTACGGTAGCAAAAAATGAGCGAATCTGAAGACGTCGAGTTTCAGAAGACACGTGGTTGGATTTGGCGTAAAGAAGATAGTAGAGACAGCAGGTGGAGAAGAAGAGGGTTTGGAAAAGAAGAATGGTATTGATTAGAATGATTATTGTAGTTGAATAAGTTTCCCAGAAACCAGAAAAAGCGAATATGAGGATAGGCTCGGTGAAGAAGGAGATTGAAGGGCAATGGAGTTCCTGGAAATCGGATGGTTTACATTTTTCAAGAATTTTGAATACCGTAAAACCTCTAATAGAACGACACCCGGATCGTCCACTTTGAGCCTATATATCTCA